ACACACGTTGGAGACATGTTAGACACACGTTGGAGGCACGTTAGACACACGTTGGAGACATGTTAGACACACGTTGGAGACACGTTAGACACACGTTGGAGACACGTTAGACACACGTTGGAGACACGTTAGACACACGTTGGAGACACGTTAGACACACGTTGGAGACACGTTACACGTTAGAGACATGTTAGACACATGTTAGAGACACGTTAGAGACACGTTAGAGACACGTTGGAGACACACGTTAGACACGTTACACGTTAGAGACATGTTAGAGACATGTTAGACACATGTTAGAGACACGTTAGAGACACGTTGGAGACACACGTTAGAGACACGTTACACGTTAGAGACACGTTAGAGACATGTTAGACACATGTTAGAGACACGTTAGAGACACGTTGGAGACACACGTTAGAGACACGTTACACGTTAGAGACATGTTAGACACATGTTAGACACACGTTGGAGACATGTTAGACACCATTGGAGACATGTTAGACACACGTTGGAGACACGTTAGACACATGTTGGAGACACGTTACACGTTAGAGACATGTTAGACACATGTTAGAGACACGTTAGAGACACGTTGGAGACACACGTTAGAGACACGTTACACGTTAGAGATATGTTAGACACATGTTAGAGACACGTTAGAGACACGTTGGAGGCACACGTTAGAGACACGTTAGACATGTGTCTAACGTGTGTCTAACATGACCCCTCCCCCTCTGTGTTCCAGATGTGTGTAACGTGGACCAGCAGAACAAGGCCGGCTACACTCCCATCATGCTCGCTGCTCTGGCAGCTGTGGAGACGGTGAAAGACATGATCATCGTGGAGGAGCTCTTCAGTAAAGGAGACGTGAACGCTCGGGCCAGTCAGGTGAGGGCCAGAGGAACAGGTGAGGGCCACAGTTGATGGTTCATCTGTACAGAACAGAAACAGGAAGCTGCTCAGCTTTAGTAGACATGTCCTCAGGTGTGGGCGTGTCCTCAGGTGTGGGCGTGTCCTCAGCAGCTTGTCTCCTGTGTCTCAGGCTGGTCAGACTGGTCTGATGCTGGCCGTCAGTCATGGCAGGATGGACATGGTCCGGGCCCTGCTGGACCACGGTGCAGACGTGAACATCCAGGATGATGAAGGCTCCACAGCTCTGATGTGTGCCAGTGAACATGGACATGTGGACATCGTCAAGCTGCTGCTGGGCCAGCCGGGCTGTGACGCCTCGCTTAGTGACGGAGTGAGTCACCTGTTCATCTGTTCACATGTTCACCTGTTCACATGTTCACATGTTCATCTGTTCACATGTTCACCTGTTCACATGTTCACATGTTCATCTGTTCACATGTTCANGTGTCTAACATGTGTCTAACATGTTAGACATGTGTCTAACATGTTAGACATGTGTCTAACATGTGTCTAACATGTTAGACATGTGTCTAACATGTTAGACATGTGTCTAACACGTTAGACATGTGTCTAACGTGTCTAACATGTTAGACACATGTTAGACACATGTCTAACATGTGTCTAACATGTTTCTAACAAGTGTCTAACGTGTCTAACATGTTAGACACATGTTAGACACATGTCTAACATGTGTCTAACATGTTTCTAACAAGTGTCTAACATGTGTCTAACATGTGTCTAACGTGTGTCTAACAAGTGTCTAACGTGTTAGACATGTGTCTAACATGTGTCTAACATGTGTCTAACACGTTAGGCACTTGTTAGACACTTGTTAGACACACGTTAGAGACATGTTGGAGACATGTTAGACACACGTTGGAGACATGTTAGACACACGTTGGAGACATGTTAGACACACGTTGGAGACATGTTAGACACACGTTGGAGACATGTTAGACACACGTTGGAG